TGAAAAGAAAAAAAAAGGTAAAAGGAAAAAGGCAAGAGCTAAGGTCAGGCTGGGCTAGTTGCTGCCAGAGTCACAGTGGATGACTCTGCTTAGTGCTTAACTGCTTTAAAAAAGCCTCTAAAAAAACACCCTCTACAGGAGGTAGGAGAACGACGTGCCTCATCTATGTCAGGAATTTTTCAGCTTTTAACCCTTGCTTAGCTCTGCTCGAGTGATCATAAAGTCAGACTAGATGAGGCACGTGGTTCTCCCGCCTCCTCCTGTAGAGGACGCTTTTTTAGAGGCTTTTTTAAAACAGTTAAGCACTAAGCAGAGTCATCCACTGTGACTCTGGCAGCAACTACCTCAGCCTTTTTCCTTTTACCTTTTTTTTCTTTTCATGATAGCAATAGCAGTTAGACTTATATACCGCTTCATAGGGCTTTCAGCCCTCTCTAAGCGGTTTACAGAGTCGGCATATCGCCCCCGATTTGAACAGCCGAACTGCAGAACTGCAGTCAGCTGAAGTAGCCTGCAGTGCTGCACTCTAACCACTGCGCCACCTCGGCTCTGCCGATGACAGTGGTGAGGCTCTGCCACCCCTGTCTCCCCTGACTGCACATCCCTGTATCAGAGAGGATACATTACCAAAAAGGTAATTTACAGAACAACAAATTTACAGAACACCGAGAGCTTTTTCTCACTTGCAACTGATTTGGTAGACAGGAGGTGGCAGATGTGAGATTATCAGTAAGGCATGCATTTCCCAAGCCATAAAGAATTTTCTATAGATTACTAAAACCTTGAAATACAGCAAGACAATGAAGCTACAGAATCATGGGGTGATCAAAGGGAATGTTGGTGGCCCCTGGGCCTGAAGTTCTTGGGCTTGCTTTAAAGAAAACCCCATATAAAATGAATTGCAGAAACTCAGGCTGAAAATCACTACATTCACCTTAGGTGGCATAATAAGTGATTGGTCTAAGGCAGTGGTTCCCAAACTTGGCAACTTTAAGACTTGTGGACTTCAACTCCCAGAATTCTCCAGCCAGCTGTGCTGGCTGGAGAATTCTGGGAGTTGAAGTCCACAAGTCTTAAAGTTGCCAAGTTTGGGAACCACTGGTCTAAGGTGAAATCCATATTTCAATCCTTGGACACAACCTTCAGCCTGGTAAGCACCACCAGTGTCCTGCAACTATTTCCCCAGAAACCNATTGTAGGTGAAACATTTGGCCATTAAGCAGCACTTGTTCCAGACCTCTTAGAACCTCATATATCTCTTTCTATAAATTAATTTTTATCAGACTCTTGAGACAGAACAACCTGCTCAGAAGTTTTATGAGCCTGGAAAAAGCCAGTGTGACCTCAGTTGTTCCCAGTATGAAATTAATATCTATAGTTAGCGGGTTAGGTAATCTCTTCAATGAGTCCCAGTTGTATAGGAATACTGTTATATGGTTTCTGAATTGGACAGGATTTTCTGAGACGTAAAAAGCTGGTCAAAATTAATTTTATGTATGGTTTTGCTGTGGTTATCTCACTAACTGCTTATGGAAGATTTTTTTCTTTAATTTGCAACACTAGCCCATACATTTTATACAGAATTGTGTACAAAGTTATATATTAATCTGATTCGGTATGTCAATTTGTTATCATGGCAATTTAAGGTTGACTTTATTATTATAATAGCCTTAAGGCTGCAAAATATTAATGGATTACAAAATCCAGATCACTAAGAAAAAGATACCTAGAGAAGCAATGGATGAAAACAGGATGAAAACTGCAATAGTCTCAGAAATATTTAATTGAAAATTCCCATGAGTGTTTCATGCATACACCAAGAGTATGCGAAGATGTGTGTTTGTGTGTGTGTGTGTAACTTTCTCAACTTTAAATTATTTAACATGTTGTCTTCTGTGTGTTTTAGCCTCATTATGTGTGCGTATGATTTAAAACACTTTGACCCAGTCTGCGGAGGCCGTTTTCATCCTATTTTGAGTGCTGCTTAATTATCTGAGATTTATCATCTCAGTCTTAGCGAATGGATATCTTCTACTGATGACCTCAGAATTCATAAGATACACGAGAAGCAGAATGACATTCTTAAGACACATGCCTTTTGACTCCACTGCTAAATAAGGTGTTTGGGATGGGCTTTTCAAGAAGGCATTTCAACAAGCCATGCAATGGGACTGAAGGCATGAAAGTGGCTTCCAAAAGAATTTTTAAAAAATCTATTAAGCTACTCAGCTCATGTATTTCATGCGTCTTCCAGAAACTGTTATGAATCGTTGATAAAATAATTAAAAGAACTAACCTCCACCCCATTTAGGGAAGTAGTTAAGGCACCTTTCATCTGTCAAAAGTGTTGGGGGGAAGAGTGATTCCTTCCCATCCTGCATTTTCCTTAGGGACTAAGTGCTCCTTTCTCCAGAGAACAGAATGTAAACTTCTAATCAGGGACCAAGTCTTCCTTACATTTTCAACTGTAATGACAGTGATCAAGCAAGGAGATCTCTTAAAAGGATGTAGCTACTCATTCCCACCTCACACGTGCTCCCTGCCAATTGGAGAAGAAGGTGCAGAATCTTGGTGCTTATTCTTGCCATTTAATTTAGATTTCAGTTTCTAAGGCTTTTCATTTGTGCCTCATTTAAAACATTTACTTCATTTTCCTTAGTAAGGCATACAAGACTAAATAGCAATAATAATATAACTAAAAGTCTTAGAAATATACAACAGAATTCACAACAGTGATACTAAAAACATGTAAGTAAATGATGATGATGATGTCTAGTCAAAATATGTAACATAGGCATTTTAATTTAATGTAATAAATTTAAGCACTTTCATTAATAACAAAATTACAAATATGTTTTCAATAATCAAATGTTGGAGTTTACCATGCCTCTAAAAAAATGCCCTCTACAGGAGGAGGCAGGAGAACCACGTGCCTCATCTACGTCAGGAATTTTTCAG